TTTGTTGGGCTAAAAGGGTCTTCAGGAATGTTCCTGCCTCACTAGAGACCCAGACTGAGGTGGCCTAACATCAGTCCTCATTGCCTGCTATGGTTTCTCATCTTTCCCAACCTTGTCATTCTGCTCCTGTTCCTAGGTCTGCTGAATCCATGTCTCCCCTTATTTTCACAGCACCCTGGCCTTCTCCCACTTCCCAATATCAGGGTCATTGCTCATCATGTCAGTGACTACCCTGTCAAGTCTGCCCTGTGCAGGCTTGTCTGTTTCTCTTTGCCAGCCTTAAGTCTCCATTTTCATCCAACAGATGGGTTATTTAGATTTGCACCCACAACCTATCTCTCCACTTCTTTTCACTTCTCCCCTTTTCCATTTTCTTACCTCCTCCCTCTTCTTCTTTATCTTCAGTGTCTTGATGATGTGGTCATGGACTTCTTGGCCTAGAATGCCAGCAGCAGGATGTTTACCCCTACACCTAGTTATTACCCTCATATTTTTGTGGTCACTTGAAGACTGGGCACTAGTGTCTGCTTATTGACTTGTCATCTCTCAACTGGTTTCTTTTCACACCTTTTCTTCCATATGGAGGTTTTTTTTTCTCTCCTTTGCTTGTTTTCACCCACACTATGGATAACCAAGATCAATGTTTTATACATCTTTTTTACACAATCCAATTGCTTTGTCCTTTAGACATTTTTTTTGTGTCGTCCATTAGAATCAGGTCTTCCAGTACCATGCTTTTTCTTTTGGCATCTACTCCTTTTCTATTTAATTCATAGATTGTAGCTGAGGTTCCATTGTTATATGGATAATTGGCTTGTCCTCACTCCTTCTTGAGAGGACTCCTTCTCTCACACCATCATTCTTCTGCAGGAGGCTGCAAGGCTGGGCTAGCTTGTCACTAACATTTGTGCTTCTTTTTTATACCCCATGCATGAGATTCTTTTGCTTTTTGGAGCTTTGGCTTCCTTTGAACCACTCATTAATTTAGGCCATGCATATACCTTTTACAATGGAAATAGTGAGACCAATGGAACTTTTCTTGTGATCCTTTGTCCTTAATTGAGCACTTCTTTTCTCCTCTTCTAGGGGACTGGTCTTGTGTCTCGACTGTACCAACACCATGGTGGGCATCCCCTTGCCACTCTCCTCCTGACTGTATCTCCATATCTTCCTAGATGCTTCTCTGTCAGGTGGAGGAGCATCTATGAATGATTACATGACCTTAGGTGTGTGGGCTCTTGAGGAGTGTTCAATCCACATTAATGTTCTTGAACTTCTTGCTATCAATCAGACACATTTTCTTATTTCTTCCCTCTTCTTGTGGATTGATTGGTCATGGTTCAATCTAACAATTTGACATTCATTTCTTATATCAACTTTCAGATGGTACATGTTCTATGATTTTTTTTCCTTCTATACATTGGACCTGCTATTTTGGGCTTATTCCCATTGGGTTCATCTCATGTCTTGTCAAGTGCCAGAGGCTCTGAACATGGTGGCGGATTGCCTTTCTCGGCCAGACAGGGTTCTACCTATGGAGTGGTTTCTTCATCCTCAGGTTTTTTCATTGGGTTTGCTCATGGTTGATCGCCTTTCTTGGCCAGATGGGGTCCTACCTATGGAGTGGTCTTTTCATCCTCTGGTTTTTTCATTGGGTTTGCTCATGGTTGATCATGCCTCTCATCAATGTCTTTGCCTTCAACACCAAATTTGTCTTATTTTGATTCCCATTTCCTCATCCTTTGGCCCTGGCAGTTGATGCTGTCAGCCAGGACAGGATTCACCTTTTTCTGTATACCTATCCCCCTATTCCTCTTCTCCCTCATGTCATCACTTTGATATGCAACACTCCTTGTTGGGTCCTGTTGGTGGCACCTCTTTGGCAAGCACAAACTTGATTTACTCTGCTTCATCAGTTGGTGCCCAGGCTTCCTCTTCCTCTGCTACATTCCCACTCTATCTTGCTCCAACCATGTTTATCTTTCATCCATGGGCATTACCCCATTCATATTCATGTGTGGGATTTGTTCAGTCTATTGTCCTTAGGACTTTCCAATTGTGTAGCCTTTTTCTTATCCCATTCCTGTTGTCCTTCAACTCTTTCAACAGAATTTGCATTTTTTATATATTGATTCATCACCCTCTCCCTCCTCCTGAGCATCCTATTGTGGCCCACCTTTTGGCATTTTTCATACGGTTGATTAACCATGGATTGTTGTTTTCCACTATTTCTGTTTCTTGGATGGCTTTATTAGCTACATCTCACCTTCTCATTACTGTCAGGTTTTTTCACCTGTCCTCTCCACTTTATTCTGATTGTTTTTTGTCACCAACCCCCCTTGTCTTACTCTCATAGCTGACTGAGACTTTGACATGGTTTTACATGCTCTTGCCCATTTGCTCTGTTAGAACCATTAGCATCATGTTCATTATACTTTCTTTCTCTGAAGACATGTTTTCTTCCCCTTCTCACCTGTGGTCACTGTTGTTTGATGAATGTACCACTGATGCTTTCTGCACTTTACTTTCCTACTCCTCTATCCAGAATAGGCCTTTCTTCCTAAAACTTCCGCTGCTCAGGAAGGTAATTGTTGTTTCCCATTTCATCGTATCAGATTAGTCAACTGACTCACTCCTTGCATCTCATTTTCACCATCCCTTGGACAAAATCATTTGGGCTGGCATGTGGAATCCTCACATATTTGTCTCCCATTTTTTAAAATCATCTGGCTGTTTCATCTTCTGAAAGAATTTGACTCCCTCCCTTCAATAAAACTACATACTATCTTGAGAAGGGTAAGTACATTTTCCTTTTCGTAACACTTTTTCTATTTTATAGGATCCTGCCAGGTGACTGGTTTGACCCCAGGATATGCTTGTTTTCCAAAATCTGCATGGGGTTTCTGCAAGACCATTAGAGGTATCCTTGTGATATTAAAAATACTCAACTTCCTGATTCAGAATATCCCATTCCATGGACTATCGTGAAAAAAGCCGATACAAGGGAAGTGACTCCCAACTTTTTGGGCTACCGCTTATTGGCTTTTAAAAACAGGGTTTTGCAGTCACCCATTGAATTGTCTCATATAAAAAACTTTGTAGCAGGAATCTGATGGGAGCTAGGCACTTTTCCAGGTTTTTTCAATTCAAATTACCCTCCCCCTCCCTTCTTGAAGTGGAGCACGGGAGACCCTTGCCACTTACCAGTTCCTAGTCACTGAGATGGTGGACTTTAGAGAATTCCTCACTGATTGTGTGCAGCACAATATGGTTGGAAGTAGGACAGTGGTGCACTGTCTGTGTAGTGTTGGTCACCTCACAAACAGCTAGTGTGCCCTCTTCCTGCAGTGGGAAAAGGTTTGTTACTCCTGTCTGTCTGTCCATTTGAGTCAAGGTGAGACACACATCATACAGTTTGATGAAGCCCTAACCACACTATATAATTTTTGGATGACAGTCCACATGTGTGTGTGTGTTTGGTTGGTCATGATAAAACTGTGACACTTGGGGCTCTTTTGCCTTTCCCATGTTTGCTTCAGGGCAAAGAGTATAACCCGGTTGAGACAAGATGCAGTCTCACATAGGTGTGCCCCTATGGAGCCTCTGTCATCAAGTGTCACACATCACAGGCTTTCTCTTCAGATATTTTATGAAGGAAGCTCATCTAAGTTTAATGTTTGCACCAGTTCCTCCACCATTTCAGTGTGGAAATCTAGCTATTCTGTTTGTGAAGGTGAGGTATCATCTTGGTAGTTAACATTTTCCTTACCTTGAAAATGTATTTCTGATAGATACTTACACTCGTGCACCTCACCTGTTCTCCCCACTTCCAGTGCACATTCTTCTTGTCTCATCTAAGAATGAAATTATTTCGAGTGCAAGTGCTTAAGGAGAGTTACTGCACATGATGGTGTCATCATACACTAATGCAGTACATGTTTAACACGTGATTTTTAGGTAGGAGTTAACTTAAGGCTAGTGGCATGCAAAGCTGATGATAAAGTATCAAGGTATTTGTGTGTTAAGGTGAGTATCTGTCAGGTAAGAACTTTTGAATATTTTTATATAAACCATGCTTAAAAACAACTTCTATCTATGGTAACTGTGTTACAGGTACCAATTATTTTTATCTTAAAAGTTCCAAGGCAGTAATTTATGTACTAGGAATTTCTAGTGTACTACTTTCAGTGGACAAACCAAATCTTTGTCTCCTCTGCTTTACTCTAAATATTTATAATTCTTTCCTACCACTTTATTTAACTGGGAGGAGAGATTGTATATTTGTTTTATCTTTTTTTTTTTTCCTGTGTATAACTGTGTAATCAGCTCCTCAGATTTTAACAGATGTTCACAACATGTAATAAGATTGTTGATTATGGTACCCTGCCTTCCCATTTTGACAGAGTTAAACCTTCAGAAATCAGGTAAAGAAAATAAATAGAAACATGTAAGTAAATTCTTTTGTAGTTACAAGGATGATTTTTTTTTATTAAAGTTTGACATTTGTTAGTTGATGCATGTTAATATAATTAACTTCTGTAGTTACATGCCAAGTATTTTCAACACTTCATTCTGACATTTGTTAGTTGATGCATGTTAATATAATTAACTTCTGTAGTTACATGCCAAGTATTTTCAACACTTCATTCAGCTTTAATTTTTGGTGCACATCTAATGCAGAAGAAGGTTTGTGACAAAGCATTACAATAAAATAAGAAATATATTTTTGGAAATAGTAGTTAATTGTTGGTACATTCGGTGTTGATGTCTTACAATATACTAATGTTGTACAAAAAGGTTTAAATGCAAAGTATTTTTGATCATTTTACACTGTTTTTTTTTCATTTAAATTTGTTATTTTGAAGAGGTTATTTGAAGTTGTTCAGTGAAAATTTTATCTATCATACATTTTCCTGCTGTTAAAGTCTTTACACATCTAATTGTCTACATTCCAAGTACAGGAAAATAGATTTGCAATTTTGGTATGCTTTCTTTTCTAGCTTCCTAATTTCTTCATTCAGTCACAAGATTATACAATATACCATCAAAATGTGATATTTGAGAACAATATACAAGGCAAAATTACACGGTGAGTAGGTGAATAAATTTTTTCTAATTAGTTTTAAAAGACCATTGACGTAAACAGAATTTCGAATTCTTCATTATAACCATAGTTGAGTAATGAAGCACATTATGCTAATGTAATAACAATTAATCAAAGAACAATTTATAAGCACAATGAAGTGATTTATTTATGGTGGAACACACTACATGTTCTGTCTAAACATGAAGTATGTTCCACCATACATAAATCAGTGCATTATACTTATAAATCATTGTTTGATTATTGTAATTATAGTTTTGTGTTTTATAATGCAGGCTAATCTTGCTGAATGATGTAACTACTCTTGTAATATCCTATGTTGTAAAAAGTAAACAATAGCTTTTTTTGATCAAGTATCAAATATCAAGCTTAGAAATGTCAATGATAGTTATAATGCTCATATTTTAGACAATCAACAAAAGTTTGATATAAATACATATCTTATTTGAGTGTAAAAATGTTTTAGTTTTAACAAACTTAAGTTATTCAAACTGTGGATTGTGCTAGTGTTGATTTTGCACAGTTGTTCATAAGCTTTCTGTGAATTTAAAAGACAATGTTATCCATGACTGATTAAACAAATTCAATAAACTTTGGTTAATCTTCTCTAAATGTGCTTAGTCGTTTTGACCAACCATGCAACCTCCATATAACCATGAAACTATACATACTATAACTTTTAATGTAATAAGTACATCTCCACAAATTTGGCAAGGTTTTAATAAATATTACAAGTCTTTTTGTATGCAGAAAAATCAGATTTTTAAAAATTATTATCACTAAAGACTTGCCTGTGAATTTGTGGAGTCAGAGTTTGACGAAGACTCTGACTAGTCTAAGTGCAAGGTGATTTTCATGTTAAGATTAAAAATACTTTGTTTTATCTTAACATAAAAATATAGGACAACAAGGAACCTTTTGGTTCACCTAGTCTGTTCCATCTATTCAGTTAAGTTAATCTAAACACTAAAAAACTTAAAACCAGCTTTTGTCCTTCAAATATTTTTCAAGCTTCTCCTTAAATGTTATTGAATTAACTGCATCTACAACATCTGAAGGTAACCCATTCCGAAGATCAACCATCCTGTTAGAAAAATAAAGCTATCTTAGCTTAAGATGACTCTACCTTGAGAAAATGTACATTTGTGTCCCCTAGTCTTACTGTTCTCACCATTACATATGAAAAAAGATGATACATAAACACTGTCAATTTCCTTAACAATCTTAAACATTTCAATCAGATCCACAATAACTCTTCCCTTTTTCACGAGAAAATAAGTTCAGAGATCTTATTATATCTTCTTATGACAACTTTTCCACCCCAGCTATCAATCTTTGTAGCCCTCCTCTGAAGGCCTTTCCAAACATTAAATGTCTTTTTTAAAGTAAGGAGTCCAGTAATGAACACAGTACTCCAAATGTGACCTGTACAATGATGTTATAATTTCTTTAGACTTGTATTCAATTTTTCTCTAGATATAACCTAAAATCCTATTGACCATTCCTTCCTCTATATCATTGATGAAATCAAAAAGAGCAAAGGTCCTAACAATAAGCTTTGGGGTACCCCACTTATTACAATAAATAAGTTGACTGAACTCCATTTATAACAATTCTCTTCCTTCTTCCATTTAGCCAGTTTTAAACTTTTTAACAATTATTTATCTGGCAACTTGTCAGATGTTTTCTGAAAATACCGATACATCAAATTGACACCTGTATCCTCATCTACATAGGCAGTAACCTCTTTGAAGAATGTCAAAAGATTAGCAAGGCAAAGTTTTCATTTTCATCAAAATTATACTGATGATTCAAACTGTGGTGTTCCAAGTTGTGATATCTTGCATTTATTAGATTTTTTTTCTAGTAAACTGTTATATTTATGTTATATTAATACTATACAGCTTAGTCCATTTAACCTTATAACTATAATACTATACAGCTTAGTCCATTTGACCTTATAACTATAATACTATACAGCTTAGTCCATTTGACCTTATAACTATGATACTATACAGCTTAGTCCATTTGACCTTATTACTATAATACTATACAGCTTAGTCCATTTGACCTTATAACTATAATACTATACAGCTTAGTCCATTTAACCTTATAACTATAATACTATACAGCCTAGTCCATTTACCTTATAACTACTACATAAAAAAAAGAAATAAATGTAAGTTACCCTTTTTTTCTCCACATCTACTGCAGCTTATAACAAAAAAACTAGAATTATTTATCCTAAATAGCTTTAGTCTTGTAACAGTTTTCATCTACTGCAGCTTATAACAAAAAACTAGAATTATTTATCCTAAACAGCTTTAGTCTTGTAACAGTTTTCATCTACTGCAGCTTGTAACAAAAACTTAGAATTATTTATCCTAAACAGCTTTAGTCTTGTAACACTTTACATCTACTGCAGCTTGTAACAGAAAACTAGAATTATTTATCCTAAATAGCTTTAGTCTTGTAACAGTTTACATCTTTGAACCATGTCTAACTACTAAGCCTTCATAATAAAATGAGAAATCATCTGTTGACTGCTTGCTGAAGTTATGGTAAACAAAACATTGAACTGTGTAATGCATATTCAGCTTGCATATTTAGTTGAACAATCATCACAGGAATAGGACGGGTTCTACGAATCAGTCTTTACTCTTTGAAGTAAAATGAATTGAACTCCTCAAAGGTTAGATTGCATTTCTCTTGAAAAGCACCAAACTTCCAATCACAAAGCGCATTCTGTATACAACTTGCCAATCGGAAAACAGACACTGCAATGTATAAGTATCTTTATTTGTGTGACAGTTTCAAAGATATCCCTATACATAAGATCAAGTAGGACATAACTATCTTACGACAAAGAAGGTTAGTTCCATGACCAGTCTATCAAAAAAAGAGTATCACCTTAGGCAGAATTTTTTGTACAAGCTCAACTGGATTTAGAATGTTTCAAAATTGGAACTTGGAAAGATATACTATAGAAAAGTAAGATACATAGTATTAGCATACTACAACTTTCCACCCCTTATCTTAGGCTTGTCCTTGAGCTGTCATTATTTTAAATTTATCATTAATTAAAAATGTTGCAATGTTGAAATTGGATGAAAATTATAACCTTCAATCACATTTGATGCTAACATGATCGAATGAAATAAAATGGGAACAAATGCTCTGATAACCTATACACATCAGTAACATTCATGATGAGCACCATATACCCATTATGCAGCTTGCTAAACAACTATCATATAGTGATACAAGTAAAAATCCAAAATAATTTCAAATATGATCCCTTTAAGTGAAATACAATCATATAGGAAACATTTTGAAATTAAAATGAAAAATCACAATAAATAAACATGAAACAGAAGTAGGTGGGAACACGAAGCAAAAGGTCACCACGTAAAAGAATAGGAAGCACTGAACAGGCAAAACAAAAGTTTCATAAGTTAAACAAAAAATAATGTAAAATATAACCCCCTTCTAGATACAATACAAACTGAAAACCCTTGTACATAAAATGCAAAATGAAAAGAACTGAAATAAAACCCCTTTAAATATTTTGTAAAGCATTGAAAATAAAAATATATGTATACATACAAAAAGGAAGAAATGAGAAAAAGTAACTGTACAAAATATACGTAGCTATTCCCAGGAATTATAGCTGGAATTCTGAATTGTAATCAGCAGTCTGTCCAGAACTATGATTGATTGCTTCCACCATTTGCTGAAGAAGATTGTGTGCCCATATCAGTTTCTCCTGACAGTGTTTTCAGGTTTGGTGGTGTTTTGGGTCTGCTAGATTAATTGTCATCCCTGCATCTATGTTGCTTATAAAGAGGTGGTGGTTGATACTTCAGTATTCAGACACTTTTTAAAGGTTTGTTTAGTTGAAATGTCTGGGTATGATTGTTACTGGATGAGTGAAAACAAGTCACTTGAACCACTGAAACATGAAGTTGAAGGCATGTACTTCTTCAAATGGTTCAGAAAATCAGGAGTAGTACTGCTGTTCATCTTCTTTAACATCTCGTCTTCACTTCCATTCCCTAAGGGCAAGATGATCTGAAAAATAGGAACTGAGAGGGACAGTTCATGCTTTGGTGTTAGAGCTGAAGGGGCATTCACATGTGTAAAGTTAATCATGAGTGGAGTCTTTACTGAATTCTTCTGCTTGAATGTTTGGTTAACCTTGAGATTGATTATAATTGCATGATGCTCAGAAAAAAGTTTGTTTCAAAACCTTAAATAAAAATCACAAGTAATATTTTAACACTTTCACTTAACACTAGAGTTAGAGTAAGTATCAAACTTCTAATTTTTGCTTGGTGTTAAGTCTAAATTACAGAAAGTAATGGTGTCATTACTGGTCAGAGTATCCAGAGAAAGGTCAAAAGTTCATGTTTCGTCATAAGGTGGTAACTGGTAAAATCCACATTCCAACTATAAATTGTAGTTTCACACACTGTCAATGCATGGTTGAATGTGCATATTTCATAATTACTAAAACAGATATCATGAGAACAGTGCTCCATATGACACTCAGTCTACAGAGTGGTACAATAAAAAAAAGTTTTAGCCCTTTAGCTAGAGTCTGCAGCTGAAGCCTTACTATAACAAACAGACTGCACATGGGATACAGTATCACCTAGACTACTGCCTGGTTTTTCAGTGACTACAAGAATTATCAACCTCTTTCTTGATTCCAGGGTGTAAAGCAGAGATCAGCACTCTGGTTAACTTTATGGCTTTCTCACCTATACACTTGTATCTAAAAGGGAAAAGAGAGAGATTTTATGAAGTTAAATTCTGCACTTTTTATCACAGAGTACAAGAGGAAAGCTACTTTTTATGTGTGAAAACACCCTGAATTTTCAAACTTTAATAGAAACATAAATACTTCTGCTTAACTTTGCTTTCTTGTTTGTACTGTGCATTACAACTGTCCAAGTCTGCATACTCGAGTTGCATAAGTAGCAAATCTTTGTCTCTATCTCACTCTATACTTTCTTAGTATTTTCTTTTGTTACATATTAAATTCTTTTTCAAGGTATAGGGGTTTCACTTGTAGGATTTTTCAAATAATGTGAATGCTTAACATGCATAAGTATGCACATGCATCCAACATAGCCATATATGCCCACTGTTGAAATGGGGTGTTCCAGAAAACCACTTGAGGTATCCTTGTGGTATATTCTGATATCTGTCTACTGTTTGATCCAGATTTTACCTATTCCATATACTATCGTGGAAAAAGCCAGTAGCATAAGGTGCTCTTCCTGTTACACTGGCTCATGGTTGCTGGCTTTTCAAAATAAGTTTATTCAGTCACTTATTGCACTATCTCCAGTAAAATACCTTTCTATTAGTTGTTTGATGTGGATCTGGGCATTTTATCTGGGTCTCCCCATTGTAACTCCCCCCTCTTTCATTGAGTGGAGCAACGGATACCCTTACTACTTACCAGTTTCTAGCCACTGAAATGGTGAACCATAGTGAACTCTTATTGATTGAAGTTTAATAGTTAGGGACTGAAGAAATAGTGCCAATCAGTGGATAGTGGGGTGGTGATGACACTGTTAATGTAGCTCAGGTCACCCTTCTTATAATTATACTTAAAACATGTCAGCATCCCCCATCCTACTGCTGCTCGGATGTCAAGTCCTCACAAATGTGGTTGGTAGGGTCCTCCTCCTCCTACTGTAGATTGGAAAAAAAATTCCCAACATTGCCTGGCTTTGGACCAGAGTTGATCCATCATGTGTGCACTCCCCCTTCCTACCATTGCCTGAATGTCGGGTTCCCAGGTGGCCTGGTGTTGGTTGTGTACTGGGCTGCACACATGCCTTGTAGGTTGTTGGAATCAAAATTGCTTTTCCCTTCTGCTTCCTGGTTGTTAGGTGAAGACAGTTGGGATCCTCCTCCTACTGCAGACTGGAAGACACATACCTGATGCCACCTGGTGTTGGATTGGAGTTGACCCACAAAAATATTTTCAATCATCTCCTGTTTAGTTGAAGTGTGCACTTCCTAATAAATTGTGCATTTCTTCCACAGCTGGTGGTGGTCCAAGATTCTGATGGTAGAGTTGAGAACAACACGTACTAATAATTCTTCTACCCTCCTCCCACAGGTTGTGTCTGTCCAAGAAGTATGGTGCTAGAGTTGAGGTGAGTACTCAGTACAGTCTGAATGTACCCCAACCATGCTTCACATATTGGCTTTCTGATGTCTTGTGTGCAAGTACTCGGATGGCCATGTTCTTATTCTGCCCATACACACGACACATGGGGTTTGTTTGCCTCCTCCTCCCTTCCAATCTGGGCGAAGAGTGTACCCTGGAGGGGATAAGATGTGGTCACCCTCGAGTGTGCTGCTATGAAGCCCCCGGCTATCAGGCATTGCACCCATGGCTTTCTTTCGGGCACTTTCTGAAGGTAACTCATCTAGCTAACATTCACATCAGTACCTCCACCATATCAACTGAGATTCTAGCTTTCTGTGTGAAGAGGCATGTATCATCTCAGAAGTTAACATTTTCCTTACCTAAAAATGTCTTTCCAATAGATATTCATTTCAGTACACAATTCCCACCATTCCACCCCATATCTGGTGCAAATTTCTTTCCTTGCCTCATCTTAGAATGAAGATCACAAGTACAAAAGTATAGAGGGAATTAGTGTGCAAGTATGTTGTGTTGCTCCTATTGGTGGGGGGCTTTTGCTGCATAATAACATCATTATGCAGTAGCATAAATCAAGAGAAGTCTCATGAGTTTAGGTGGGAGTTGCCTAAAGACATGCAATTCTCTAAGGCAAGGTGCACAGGGAAGATAATTTTGTGTGAAGAGCTATCCATCAGAAATACATTTTTAAGTAAGGAAAATGTTAACTGTGAGTTTTTCTTATACGTTTTCTTTAGGCATTGTGAATTCTGAACTTATTTATCCAATGTTTCAGTTGATTATTGTTATTTAGTCAATTCTGAATTTATTTATCCAATGTTTCAGTTCAGTTGATTGTTGTTATTTAGTCAATTCTGAACTTATTTATCCAATGCCTCAGTTGATTGTTGTTATTTAGTCAATTCTGAACTTATTTATCCAATGTTTCAGTTCATTGTTGTTATTTAGTCAATTCTGAATTTATTTATCCAATGCCTCAGTTGATTGTTGTTATTTAGTCAATTCTGAACTTATTTATCAATGCCTCAGTTGATTGTTGTTATTTAGTCAATTCTGAACTTATTTATCCAATGTTTCAGTTGATTGTTGTTATTTAGTCTTTTGAAAATACTGATATTTCCCTTGAGGAAAATCAAAATTTAATTGAATTTGCTTTGCTCTCTCTACACTCTTCTGACATTGATTCTTTCTTTGAAGATGACATAAACTATAGCAAAACTGGTGTAGAACTATGAAGATTGTCATTCTTTTCATGATTAAAGTAGATACTAGTGGAAGTTTACAAGTTCTTCTTTGCCTTTAAGTCAGTAGTCTAGGCCTTTCACTTCCTTTTTTTCCATATTGACTCAACATATTGGTGCAGGTTGATATTTTCTTATGATGAATGGAAACTTCTTCAAAATTTTCTTTTTGCTTCTTTCTACTATTGGTATCCTTTACCTTCATCTCACTGATGAGACCAGTCTTTTTTATCTATATATTCTTGAGCCTTAGATTTATCTCCACAGCACAACTTCATACTGAGACTTTTTTGTGGCCTTTCAGAACTTTTGCAAAGGAAGCATACCAGAGTTTTAGAATATGTTTTCTTATTATAAGCTCAAATGGGTACCTCTTATCTCACTGTAGATGCCTTAGGAGAGTATCTCTTGCCCAATGTTTTATTGATGTTTTGTTCACATTAACACTAACTTCTTTGTTTTTTTCTGTAGATCTTCATACCTCTTATTGTTTGTTGTTGACTCCCATTGTTTTCTTTCCATAGGTCATTCCTTTTCTTAGCATTCAGATTGTTGAGGATTGGTTCACAACCCTTCCAGAGGCTTAGATTTCTTCAAAGTATTTAATCACTGTTCCATACTTTTTTGGGGTATTTTTTTATTTTGTTCATCCATCCAGTTGCCATCTTGGAAGCTTCCACTGATTGTTCATCCTTGGTAATAGTGGGAAACCATTGTTATAGGGCCTGCTCTATCTCAGTTAGTGTACATTTTTATTTACATTGAAGAATTTCATTCACTTGTTAGTGTTTTTTTAACGGGATTGTTGGATGTCTAGGATGTATATAGTCAATGCTTAGCTTCATGCATTCATTTACTTACTTAGGGTAAGATCCATAGCTCATTTTACAGCTTTGTGTTTAAAAAAATAAAAAAAATCCCCTTTTTTTTTATCCTTGTTACTTTAATTTCATTTTTGAGATCCAAATTTTCCAATTCAATTGTCTCCTACTTGGCCTAATTTCTGCTCCTTATGCGTTCACCAAGGTCTCACACAAGCTTTGTTTAAGTATTGATGCTTGTTCTTTCCTTTTCATGTGCACAAATCAATATCTAGCAGATAGACAATACAAGTGCTTTCTCAGGTTGCACTTCCCCTTCATTATGGTGGCTCTAGCAATGGGTTATGGTAAAAGTTTAGAATTAAAGTTAAAACTAATACTTTATTATGAAAATAAAACTGAAATCTTATTATTATCACATACATTTTACTTTACTACCAACACCTGAATATTGTGGATGAAGATGTATCCAGTTACTAACTGTTAAATAGGTGAGAAGTAACTTTGGTTTGGCAAATAACTTTGTAGCTATTAGTGATTGTCTTAGCAGACTTTTCATAAAATGTGTAAAATGAGAGCTTCAGCATATCAGTTAATACTTTGAATGAAAGATTACTGTACGAAACTTGCTAATTTGCTACAAAAGTGAGAGGTCAATGAAACGATTAGAAGGTCAAATTTTTGGAAGAACACCAGGAGAACACACCAAAGAGCTATAAAAGTGGTCAATATATGTTTGAAAAGTTTTTTAAAATTGAATTATTAAATTTTTCTTGAGCAACATTAATAATTTGTACAAGATTTTTCTTTTTTTTTGTAATGTAGTGGCCTACCAGCTTATGTCCAACAGATGGCATTGATAAGAGTTCTTGGCCACCTGAGATATGCTCATGTCAAATTAGAGGTTTTAAAAATCACCCATCACTTTGAGGATGGCACTATTCGTGTTCGCTGGCGAATTAAAGGAGTTTCTGGTCTAAGAGCACTGTTCTTTTTCTGGAACTTCAGAGTTTGGGAGTGGAAAGAAATGATGAAAAATGAGTCAGAGTAAGTAAAAAAAGTTCTTTCCTGAATAAATATTTTGCTTGATATTTTCATAACATTTTTTACTAAGCAAAAATTAAATTTGTGATGAAAGGGAAAAGTTATTCATTAAAGAAAATTTGGTTTTTAATATCAGTTTTAAATGTATTTTAATTATTTGTCTGTCATAAAACTCTTCTGGTTTTAAGATTTCTTGTAGAAATATATGTATGTCCTTTCAGATGAACAAATCATGAGGTTACACTATATAGCCGATATTTTACTTAAACTTATAAAGTTTTAAAATTACTATGAATAAATGACTTAGATTTAATTAAGGTTGGGTAATCAGAGTAGTTAAAGTTATTTTTAGTGTACTCACACTCTGTTGCATTAATACAAATTCAGTACTTTACATTAATGGTAATAATTATCTGTAGTAATGTGTAATTTGAGGGTAATTACTGAATCTATCCAGGTTATTGATTTGTTATGTAAGCTGACCATGAATCTTCTAATCAAGTTTAAATTGTAAGAGAAAGTACATTATATGTTATATAAACAATATATTACGGAATTCATATTGTAAAAGCCTGTTAAAAATGATGGGAAACCATTGTTGAATGATTAACGAACATTATAGAATTTAACTAAAACGACTTTGTCTGTACCTCCAAAATGCACCTATTTTTCACTTATTTCACCAATCTCGAAGTAATTCTTTAATCACCACATATTTAGTAAAAAGTACACAAAAAAATGAAATTTTATTATGAACAAAAGTACTTGTGCTCTCTGAAAGAAACTTAAATAGCATTCTTGAGCCTTTTCATTGTATTCTAAGTCAGGAAGTAGAAAAAATAGTGTGGAAATTCCAACAAAAATTTTCAACTCTTTTGGCAGTACAAACTATAAAAGATATTTTGTATTAATAAAAGTTTATTTTTCTTTTATGTTTTAAGGCCAAGTAGGTAATATATGGGTTAAAATACCAAGAATATTTATTAATTGACATTTATTCACCACTTAAAACCTTTTAAACCCCGACACAAATTGTCAATTCTTTCCACTGTACAAAGTAAAAGATATTTGGCAATAATAAACGTCTATTTTGCTTTATGTTTTAAGGACAAGTAGGTAATATATGGGTTAAAATACCAAGAATATTTATTAATTGACATTTATTTGCCACTTAACTTTTTAAACACTGTCTCTATAACATTAGTAATAGTAGGCCCATTTGTAGTCTAATTTAAGCATTAGGCCTAATACATAAACATAATATAAGGCTTAGCTGAAACACTACTTGATAAATTTTATTTTGCTTTTAGCTACAACTCATTGTAATAAAACTTCTGAATTAAACTATCTTGCTGTTATATCATTGAAGTTATCAAAAATATAAAAAATAAAAAACAAACCTTCCTAACAAATCAACCTGAATATTGAGCATTCAGTATAAATACCATAGTTGGCCTAAGAATAATCAGGTGATAATTTTATTGCAAAACAATGATGTATATTGTTGAACATTACCAAAAAAGGTGCGTGAAAGTGTCCTTGATGGAGTGACAAAGGGAATAAGCCTTTTAAAGTTAGTGTTAAGCAATACCTTAAGTATTCATAGTGAGCCAAAGTTCGGATTAGGGATAAGATTTAACAAGATAACAGTTTGCTAAATTTCCTTTAAATGTGAGATACAATTACTGTAAGTTCATTCATCATTCATACATTGCCAGCAAAACAGTCAATGTAGGCTTAAATTATGTTAAAACTAGAATATGTTTAAAAAGTACAAGTGTGAATTTATTGTCACAGAGTATATGGAGTACATAGAACTGTAACCTATTGTTGCAATAATTGTATTCATAGTTTTGCAAATGAGCATATTGTTACATCTCTGTGTGTTTGTTAATTTCTCATATAATTTCTTTCCAATGAAACTTCAGCGATACAAGTCCTTTCTTAATTAAAACTAGTTTATTATTTCTCAATACAACTTTATAATACACAGAATTTCCACAGTCACTTTAACTTAAACACACGCTATAATTCACAACGATTTACATCCTTTACTTATGGCTTGACTCAATTATCTATCTCTATATCTCCCTATCTGCAAATTGTTCCTCCGCTTTATCTGCCGGCTTATATACTAAAATAGAGGGTGCCTAGAAAAGACTAGAGTTGCCAGGAAGAGACATGATCCTTCTAGAAACTTATGACATGTTAACAGTGTCACGTGACTTCTGCTGTTGTAACACTGCCCCCTCCTCAGTATTGTTCGTCCCGAACAATAGCCACTTACATTAAACCAATAGATAATTAACAATAACTTAATCAAATGTACAGAATTTACAAACACAAAATTAAAATTGAACAAAGTCTCTTAATTTTACGGGATGTATCTTCTTCCGTACTGGTCTCCATCTCGTTGGCTTCTGCTTCACGTAGAGTTCATCTGCTCCATCAGGAAATGTCCTATTATCGGTAATAGTCACATCAGTGGTAGTAACTTAATGAAGGACTTCACTGTTTACCTTCTCAAAACCGGGTAGAATTTCTTCTTTGACAATGGCTTTTTTCAGGTGTCATGTCTTTAGCAGCATCATTTGTTCCGTTGTTCACTTCGTTCCAACTGGAATGTCCTGGACCGTGATAACAGCAAAGCCTGTTGTCATGCACCACCTTTGGCTTACCTCGCCGACCACATTTTATTCGGAAAGTCACATCTAAGAGACGATCCACTATGTCATATGGGCCTTCCCATGGAGAAGACAACTTAGGAGACCTCCCTTTGGTCTTCCTTGGATTATACAACCACACCTTGTATCCTGGTACAAAGCTGACTTCAGTAGATCTCTTATCATAACATATCTTCATGGAATCAGCAGACGTTTTCAAGTTTGAACGCACTTGATGGTAAATATCATCCATCCTTTCTGATAACACTTTCATGAACTCTGACACATTTTCAGGCAACTCTTCGTAAGGTGGGCATCTTGTTATCAGGTCCACTGGCAACCGAAGTTCCCAACCAAACATCAGCTTTGTTGGAGTGTATACAGTGGCTTCATGCTCTGCTGTTCTATAGGCCATCAACAGTGAAGGGAGTAAAACCTCCCAATCATCTTGGCGGCTATTACAAAACTTTGCCAATTCCTGTCCCAGTGTCCAATTGTACTTTTCTACCATCCCATCAGATTGTGGGTGAAGTAGCATTGTCCTGGTCTTTCGTATGCCAAACAACTTGCAGCATTCATGGAACACAGCTGATTCAAAGTTACGGCCTTGATCTGAATGCTGTTCATATGGCATACCAAATCTGAAGAACAAATCACTAATAGCCAAAGCTACTGTTGTAGCTTCCTGATTTGTTATTGCATATGCCTCAGGCCACTTGGTGAAATAATCCATCACCACACAAATGTACCTGTTTCCAGCATGAGTTTGGGGCAAAGGACCAGCAATTTCGACAGCTACCATTTCCATTGGTGTGCCAACTTGATATAAGTTTATTGGAGCACATCCCTTATGCTTGGGTCCCCTTTTAGCACAAC